GTTTTTCTGGAACTCTCTGGCTTTCTCCATAATCCAGCGCATGTTAGCAATTTGGTCTCTAGTTCCTCTGCCCCTTCGAAATCCAGCTTGTACTTCTGGGAGTTCTTGGTCCAGCGAACTCGGTTCTACAAATCCAAAGCAAATAAATTTATTTCAGTCCTCTGAATAACTCTATCCAGTTCTCTGAGGGAGAGAGAACATTGTCTCCAGTGTCTAATAGTCTCCAGCTGTGAGTGAACAAAACCTGGCAACTGGGGCTCCATACAGTGTTCAGCTACAGATGTTTGGTCAATTGGGACAGGTGCTTAGTTGCAGAGTTGGCTTCCCTGGTCTCCCCAGGATGAAGAATTTTCTACCAAGGAGACTGCAGTACCTGCTGCTAAAGGGCCTTCAGTTTGTGTTGCTCCTGTGGAATGTGCAGGGGCCTCACCTTACCCTCTGATCAGCGCTGGACCATCCTAAGTGATGGACTTGAGCTTCAGGGTGCTGTTTGTTTGGGGTCTGCAAGACCTGACAGTTCATCCCTGACATCAAGCCCTCAAACTTTTGGTTTGTCCTCCCTGGAGGACTTTTCTGACAGAGCCATGACAGACACCTGCTACCTTTCATGTCCAAAACTTAGCAAGTAAAGACACAAACAAAGAGAGCAAGTGAATGAATGACAGAAAGACGGGGTGTGTGGGAGAGGAAGAAAGAGAGAAGATACATAATTAGAAAGGAAAGAGATTTTTTTGTTGTTACTAGAAATGCACTAGTAAAGATAGAACCGTTTCCATCCTCATTTAGGCTTGGTTCTGGGGCTGAAAGGGGATTTGGTTGCCCTGAGAGATCATGTCTGTTGTGAGAAAAACAGGCTTTTTATACCAAGATATCTTGGTGGACCCGTTCTACACACTGGGAGTGGATGGGAGGGATGAGATACAGCAGTATGGTGGTTCTGCTCCTGTCTGCAAGTTTGGTTTCAGAAGATACAAAGGTAGGGATTGCTATTCAGTTTTGTGGTACTTATACTACAATGTTTCCCAATATTATTTCTTACTATACACATCTGCTAATTAGGTGATACACAGATACCCTCAACAGGTAGGCTCATACAACCAAGTTCTGTTCTAGCTATCTGAACTAATGTTTGAATTCAATAAGGGACTAGGTGAGAGCCAATACAATAAAGCTGAATCATCCATCCCTGTGGATAGCTCTTTTTAAGATTTGCATAGATTTGATATGTAGGCTGTTCTAGGCAGCATCACACTTACCTTTGCAAAGTTGATGCATATCTTACAAGTTCTCTTGGATTCGGCTTTGATACTTGAGTATCAGGTAACCTTGATGGGTTACCTGATGTTTGTTTGTTGTTTTTTTTAAAAAAAAACTTCAGCTCGTTCACCAGCTGCTGCTGTTCCTAGACAAGGACAATCTCAACATTATCCCTGACCACTATCTGGTTACCTGCACATTTTGGCTATCTGCTAGTTGTCTGAAGAAGTGAATTGTAAAGCATGAAAGCACATCCAGAAATAAATATCTTAGGGTGAGAAAGTAGAGAATGTGTGGATCTGTTTGTTTTAGTTACTACAACTTTGTAGTCATTTTGAAGCACAGGTTCTGTCCTCTTTCTGCATCAGTTTGTTTTATTTTATTTTTTGCTCATGGTATATTTTAAGAGAAATGTGTAGAAATATACTATATTTTGCATGTATTCTTCCTAATAATGCACTTTTGTATGCATTTCATCTAATGTACTGTATTTCTGTTGTGTTTTGTTTTTTTGGGCGATTTTATCTAAAGTGTGGAAGGGATTGTCACTCTTGAATTGGCCTTCTCAGCCACACGAGACGCTGTTCCAAGGCCTCTATTCAGAGCACATCACCATAGTCTCCTGAGACTGAAGGATGTCTACCTGTGTATCTAAAGTTCACATGTTGTGTACATCCTTTGACTAGAGAACTGCATTTAACTGCATTTAATTATATATATTGATGTCTTTCCTACATGCTTCATTTTTTCACCACAGGGCCCTAAAGGTGATCCAGGATTCTCTCCAGGACAATCAAAACGTGGAGAAAAGGTAATGATTTGAGAACCAAATGATTTACAAAGATGTTGACCAGCTTTGCCGCTATTCTTATTTATACCAGTGTCTCATAAAGCTTTTACCTCTTCTTAAATGTTTTTAATATAAAATTCTAATGAAGTTCTATAGGTGAGGGAAGTTGTGATTTGGGCACTTATAGATATGTTAAATAACACAACAAAATAGAATCGAAAGCAGATTTGCAAGTACCATTTGGCCTGAAGCTTTTTCCAGAGCTGGTAAGGCTGAGCAATACTGAAAGCTGTTTCCAAGGAGAACACTGGATTTACTTGTGTTTGTTTGCAGAGGTAAATCACTAGCATTACTCTAAGAAGAGAGGGACCACAGATCACTAGTAGAGCACATATTTTAATGTTTTTAGCAATCTTTTTTAATGGTGTAACCTGCCTTGGATCCTTTTTATGGAGAAAGACAGAGTAGAACACATTTTAAATAAATAAATAAATAAATACATACATACATAAATTTGTCAGATGCCAGATTCATTGGCATCTTCAGTGAAAAGGAGCAGGTAGAGGGAAGGGCAATGCCTTGGCCTGGTTGAGATCCAAGACAACAGCTGCCAGTTAGAATAGGCAGTGCTGGGCTAGAGATATAAACAGTGCAGTCCAGTGCTGGCAGAGGAGAGAAAGGCATTAGTAGGTTATAGAGTTTATATCATTTTAGATTCCTTCATATGGCTGAGTCCCAGTGTGGAACTCTTTGTGTGGTATAGGCGCTGTTACATTATAATGGGAAAACTGATTGTGCCTGGCATCAGCACCTACCTATATCCCAGCTGTCAATCATCATTAGATAAAGGTGTCATGTACAAATACTGGGATCTTCAACATTGTTGTGGCTTCTTCTCCCTCTTGATGAATATCATGGTGGAAAGCAAGCGTAGTTCACACAGGATAATGCTTTGTGCCAGGCATGAATGGCTTGTGGACTGAGGACTCAGGATCTCTCCCTTCACAACTTGAAGGATAGGTGTCACCTTCCCTTTCACTCCGCCCCTAAGCAGCCAAGGGTATGTAGTAAGACTGTTTCTTCATCTCCCCCACTGCTGTTTTCTCAGATGTTCAACAGTTCTCAGGGTTCAAGCACATGCTGTAAGTTTTTCCCCTTACCTGCTACCTAATATGTTCACTGGAGACAAGAATGGGTGTTGGACTTCAAAGTCTGTTGCATGCAAAGAGTGTGCTCTGCTGGGGAATACTATTTCCTGCCTTGTTTAACAGAGAGAATGCTGATTATTTATAATAGCCACAGTCATGTACTTGTGTGGCCTGGGTTTGTGTGAATTAAATTGTCTTGAGTGCTTGGAGATCAAGGGTCAGATGCCAGATTCATTGACTTCTGAGAAGACATGGTTGCCTTATTATGCTTTCCATCCAGAGATTAGGAAAAAATACTTTTTTGGCTTTGTGAATCCCATAGTCTACTGCTTAGCATAACTAGCTTCTAGTCATATGCTTTTTTTATTTTATTCTTTCCCAGTATTATAATTGGCTACCATGATTATTGCATATTGAATTTACAGGGAGATATGGGACTGATTGGCTTACCTGGGTTTTCAGGCATCAGGGGTGAAAAGGTAAGAATTTATTTTATCTATTTTTAACTTTCACATATACTACTGTACTGATACCTACAAATATAATTTGATGCTTATGTGCACAGAGTTCCAGAATGTGGGAAGAGCTTTTTCTATCAATCTTGTTCCTTTACATTGTGGTTTCTCTGATGCAGTTAATTTGGGCACCCTAAACCCTTCCAAGGACAAAATTACATGGAAAGATGTTTTTGTAATTTGCAGTCATCTGGAAGTTCTCAGCTATTCCCAAAGTCCCTGTTTCCTATGGTAAAAACATGCTACTACAAATGCAGAGAAGCAGAATCAGGAAATGCCAGTCAAAGATTAGGTTACACACAGTAAGGTAAAGGTTCCCCTTGACAATTTGTCCAGTCGTGTCCGACTTTAGACAGCGGTGCTCATCTCCCTTTCCAAACCCATAGAGCTAGCTTTTGTCCACAGACAATCCTCCATGGTCACATGGCCAGCGTGACTAGACACGGAACGCCGTTTACCTTCCCACCGAGGTGGTACCTATTTATCTACTCCCATTTTTGCATGCTTTCGAACCACTAGATTGGCGGGAGCTGGGACAAGCAATGGGGACTCACTCCGTTGCGTGGATTTGATCTTGCGACTGCAGGTCTTCTGACCTTGCAGCACAGAGGCTTCTGCGGTTTAACTGCAGCACCACATAGTAGTCCCACAGTATTTAAATATTTTTGTGATCCATGGAAATACCTTTCACAGAACACAAGAAACAAGTTATTGACATAATACCTGGAATCTAATAGCAAACTGCAACTAGAGTAGGCCCATTGAATCAATTGAACTTATAGAGGAGTTGATCCACCAAATTCCTGCTGATTCAGTGGGCCTGCTTTAGTTGCTGATTACCACTGGATTTCAGCCAATATTTAGGACTAGCCTAAGTCAGTTCAGTGGGACTACAAAGAGTGCTCTGCTTTTTGGTTTGCATTGTACCCGATGCTGTCCTAGTCATTTTGGCAGCTGAGGCAGAAAATCCTAAAAACACCTCTTATTCAAAATATAAATGTAAAAGACAATACATTTGAAAGTAACAATGGTTGTTTCTCTCTACCTAATGATGTTTCCAGTCCAATTGTTTTTATTCATTTGGTCATTGAATCGGAGAGTATTTCGTGTCTCAGACTGTAATTGAATTCTCCCATGGTGCGTTGGCAATGTCAGTTTAATATCAGGAGACTAAAGAAATAAAATGTGCAATGAAAACAGCTAAAAATTAAAGTATGAGAGGTGACTGGAAAATAGAACAAAGTTATTCATTTAAAAAATACACTGTGTCATAGAAATGCATTCTTATCCTTAGGTTAGGAAAAGTCTAATTAAAACCTGATGACGACCAAAACCTTGCTGAAAATGCCATTTGTCAACTGTTCAGCGAACTATTAGTCTGAGTTACTTTTAAAATATATATATATAAATAAAAACGATTTCTAAATCGTAAGAGATTGCCGTCATCAGCAAAAATGTGCAGTTATATCACCCAATTAATTTGAAACCTTTCAAATGACATTCATCAAATCACAAGGTAGGTGTACATCATCTGTGCTAATACGCTGTTGATCTGCAGGTCCAAGTGTCAGAGTAATGCAGTTACATACAAGATTGGTTGCTGAACACCCTGCTGGTTTATGAATGTAGTCATTCCCACTTTGCAGGTCACCATGCACAAGCAGTCTTGCTGGTGCCAAACCATTGGAAGGATTACAGCTCCTAGCAATGCTAGCTGAGGTATCCAAGGAGTTAAAACACACACACACACACAAATGTAACTTTCTCCATCTATTGTCATTTGAATATTAGTTCACCCTAAAGTGTACTGCATGTGCAAGGGAATCGTGCAAACAATTATATATGCATTTCTATTTGTTGATGAAATTTTTTGATGATCTGCTGAAGTGTGTGTGAATAAATACCAGCATTAGGGATGCAAGAAAAATACAGATCTTCAACACTCTGCTTCTAACATTCTTTTTAATCTTGACCAACAAAACTTTTGCAAATAATTAGTCTAGTTTCCTATGGTTTGAGTTACACTAAACTGTGGAATTAATTTATGCTTAGTGCAGTTAATATGTTTACAAGGTTTTGTATGTAATGATAATTGATTTGGTCATATTTTCTTGTACATGTTCTTTTCCTAACTTACAACAGTACTGTAATTTGCTTAAAGGATGTAGCAAATAAACATTGAAATTGTCTTGATGATTTGTGTGAGAGATGAACTGTCTTAATTGAAGCTAAACCATGTTGCTGCTATGCTAACACATAGACCATAGTATATAAATCCTGTTGCCTTAAGTCAATATATCTTCAGACACAAAAAATGAGAAAAATAAAAGCAGAAAGATGACTTCAGTCTAGATGTTAAGATCCAGAGAGCTGCTTTTCCTTTTTCATGTGAACGGGAGGTTGTGGGATCTCCTTTCCCACAGCAGTTTTTCTGCCAACATCCAGACAGTCATGAGGGTCCATGGAGGGAGACACTTCAGAGAGAATTTCTTGTGGGCTGGAGGTTTGTAGCTGAATCCTTATGCATATAGGGAATGCATGCATATAGGCTTCTTTGGATCCTGGCCTATTAAGTGCTGCTTTGCTCATGCCAGATGTTAAGTCTGGATTTCAGAAAAATGTATGGCTGATTTAAATGAAAGAAGCATCTAATTAAATTCCACAGGAGTCTTTAGAGGCCACCGTTTATTGAGAGAATGGAGAGTGTTGCTCATTACTGTCACATCCACAATCTATTCTGGATAGAATATGAATAACCGGGACCATGAACAACATGAAATAGGCTTTTTATGCAAACCTCTGCACATTGTAAAAGTGTACAGCTCATATGTGTGAATGTTTTTATGTGAAATAATATTTTTTGTATTGTTTAGAATTCCTCTTAAAGCTTTTATGTTTTTAGAAAAATTACATAAAACAAGCAGTCTTGCAAAGTAGCTTAAACAATAGCTCCCATATTCTGTGTTCAATTCAGGTTTCACACCTTATGGGTTTGGTTACCTTGGTAAACACTCTGCTGGGAAAGGTACAGCAGAATCTCTTCAGTGCCACCCAATCAGTAACTAAAGAGAGGAGACACAATAATATACTACAGGTTTCAGAAGGGACCACAACTTTATTTAACTACGTAACTCCCCAAACCTGTGGTAGGGTCTAAGGTAATGGATGAACCATGACTAAGTAGAGTACCTTAACTAAAGACCAACCTCTTCTCCTTTGCCCCTGGGGGCCTGCGTACCTCGCTAGCTTTGTCTCAGGTGGCCAATTTGGGGAGAAAACCTTGTGTGTGATTCTGTCCCAAGTCCCAGGATTTAAGGCTGTTGTAGCCTGAGGCTGTACCAGCCTGTGTCCCTGAATCTTATGATTTGTGCTACTCAATCAGGGCCACCAGTTGTCTGACAGTGCCCTGTGAAGGCCACCTCTACTACCCTCTCCCTGCACTGTTTGCCAAATTGTGACCTATTTAACATGGCAACGCCCCAATCTGCCTCTTATGCCTTGTAGGAATCAGAATGGGACAAACAAAAATTGCCCTTTTCTTTCAGTACGCCAATGAGGAATCCAGGCACAACATTCTCATCTAGCCTACAAAGGGACTAGAAACCTCACTCTGACCTGCAGGGCAGGGGTGCCAACTGGCATCAGTGAGGAAAAGACCAGCATTGCAGGGGGGCAAGCCTCTTCAGGCCTCTGTCCCCAACATTATCACATACATCATGAGGCAGACACATTGAGCAGCGTGTCCTGCCTCCATTACTGGAGCAGAGGAATTCTCCCCCTCTTCCAGCTGCCGAGCAGTGAGAGTACAGAAGACGAATTCTTTTGGACTTCTAGACAGTTTTTAATTCCGTCAACAAATGATATTTTTCTGGGCCGCCTCTGGGACCAGAATTTGATGGCACTATTCTGTAATCTGCTAGTCCTGGTTGATGCTTATCTGTTTACCTGTAGGGTTGCTCAGAGCTATGCCTTTCCCCTGTGCAATTTAACATTTAAACACAACCACTGGTAGAGTGTGGAGTTCGGTACTGTTAGTATGCTGATGCTCCTTCATGGATTGTCCCCTTTTCATCTAAAATTCAGGAAGCTGTTACGGAACTTAAATAAGTGTCTGATTGAAGCTTAATCCAGAGAGTGAACATTCAACTTGTGCTATACTCGCCATGAAGACTCCGGTCTGCAGTTTCAACATATTCCTAGATGCAGCCTTGAACCTTGCTGCTCAGATTTGTGCAGTAGCTGGCAATGTGTTTGCACAGCTAAAACCGGTGTACCAGCTGTGCCCATTCCTGGAATGTCTGATCTGAACATGAAATTACATTCTTTAGTTAAATCCCATTTGGCATACTTGTCATACTTTACATAGGAGTAATTTTGAAAAGCAATTGGAAACTTCAGCTCATCCAAAATACTGTCACTAACCTGTTAACCAGAGCCCATTAGAGCGAGCCTTTGATTCCCATGTTACAACAGCTTTACTAGCTGGCAGTCTGTTTCTGGATATAATTGAAAGTGCAAGTTATGACCTGTAAAGCCCTATATGGCTTGGGTCCAGCCTATTCTCCCATATATTTTCCCACATTCCCTAGGATTTCAGGTCACTGGAGAAGCCCTTCTCTCCATCTGGCCACCCTCAGAGATATGTTTGCTGAGGATGCTGAGGAAGGCTTTCTCAGTGGCTGTTTTCTGTTCCTGGAGCTCACTTCAAGCGAGGCTAAACTGGTCTCTTTCCTGTTGTCCATCGTGCAGCAGGCAAGGGCATTTCTATTTAGGTAGGTTTGGGCACCTTACTGGCTGGGACAGACTGAGCTACTAAAGGAAGGGTAGTGTAATTCTTATTGTGTTAATTGATTAATTTTTAAACAAATTGGGTCTAGGATTTCTGGATGACTGTAAAGTGGTGCCCCGCATGACGACAGCCCCGCTAAATGACGAAACCACAGGACGATGACTTTTTGCGATCGCTATAGCGATTCGCAAAACAGGCATTTCAATGGGGGAATTCCACTTCACGACGATTTGGTTCAAGCTTCGCAGACCATTTATTCTCAAGACGACGATCTTTACAGCTGATCGTCGGCTTCATAAAATGGCTTCCCGCTGTTTTCCGGACCCATGCTGCGGAAGACAGCAATTAAAAACAGATGATTGGCGTTCACAAAATGGCTGCCCTGTGGAGGATCTTTCCTGGACAACTAGGTATTTTCCCCATTGGAACGCATTAACCGGTTTTTAATACATTCCAATGGGGAAACTGTTTTCGCATGACGATTTCACTGTATAGCGATTTCAGGGGAACGAATTATCATTATCATGAGAGACACCACTGTATAACGTCTTATGAGCACCTTAAATAACTTTGAGGGAAGCCTTTCACTCCTACTGCCCTCATAAACACACACAGTGAAGATCCTAGAGAGGGCCTTTTTTTGGTAGATGCTCCCAGGCTGTGGAACTCCATTTAGTGGAAGAACAGGATAACTCCTTCCCAGCTGTCTTTCTGCCAGGCAGTAAAAAACTTTGATTTTAAGCAGGCTCTTTAATAAGTAACTGGCTCCTAAGGAAGGGTTCTAGGGTGGGGTTTTGTATTATTTTTAAAAAACTTTTCAAATGTACTTTAAAATTATTTAAAATGTTTTCAATTATTTTTATTTTGTAGTTTATATAATTTTTTTAAGATTATAATTTTTGTATTTTTAGCTGTTTTAATATTGAGTTGTTAAAACACATTGTAAGCCTCCTTTGGTCTTTATTAGGAGAAGAGTAGAGTATTAGACAGGGACGGAGGAAGTGAGTAATTAAAATTATAAACAGAAAGAGTAATGGATTAGTTGCAGTGTAATTCAGCAGCTTCTAAATATATTTAAGCTTTATTTCCTAAAGGAAAATTTGCTAAGCTTACAGGTTTAATCACATTTCTGAAACATTAACATGAATAAACAAGAATAAGTTATGGATAATTCTCGTTTAAGACAATGCTGTTCAGTCTATATGATGGGAAAAATGAAGTACTGTGGGATTCAGTAGTCAGACAAAAGTTTGTATATTGAATATTCCATTGTAATAAGAAAAAATTCTCCTAGTGTTTTCTTTTACATGTGTAAAATTATTTTAATAAATCTCTTTTCCTAGATAGCTTCTTGGTGCTCTCCGTGAAAACTTTTTTTCTAGCTACTCCATTCAAACTAGCTTACTCAGAGTGTTATGAAAAGGATTTGGAATGGGGAAGCTGCCTGGATTGAATCCAGCTTTGAATAATTACAAGCAGATTGTTGCTGCAGGCATTTTTGTCTACGTGTTACTTAATGCAAACCCATGTCTGACTTCAGCAAGATGGGATATAAAAAAATTAAGTTATGGAAAATAGAGCTTCTCTTCCTTGCTCACCATTAGTCTTTCTCATTCATAATCCGACTCTTGAGAATCTATTGTGCCATTATGATATGACATGAAAACCGACTAGAGGAAATACTCTTTGCTCAAAGGGGAAAAATTTGACTACTGTGTCTGACATTGTACGTGTGTTTGTGTTTTGCAACATGACTTATTCTTTTGTACCTGCAGGGTCCCATGGGATATCCAGGACCACCAGGACCACAAGGGGAACAAGTAAGCGATGCAGCCTCAATCAGATGCATATTAAATTTTTTAAAAATTCTCGCTTTCTTATTGGTAGCTAGTCTACCTCAGTGAGTTGGAGTGCCCGGGGCTAGGAATTCAAATCACCACTATGACTCCTGGGTGAGAGCCAGCCAAGATTACTTGAAGCACATGTGGCTGATGGGTTTACATGCCCTACATGTGTATGGCCATGGGCAAGCTGCATAGACCCAAAGCACCACCAGGAGAAGGAACCAGTAAGCCACTTTTGACTACTACTCGCCTAGAAACCTCTGTGAGGGCCACCATTAAAAAAGAAATAATGGCACATGGTGACACTTTCCTACTTTCATGGATATGGGAAAAACAAGGCTTGTGCATTAGACAGATTTTCAGTGGAAATGCATCCTTTGCATGAATTATGCACCAGGTATTGTAAATTAAAAGATTTTAAGGTAACAAGGAGCCACTGTCAATCAAAAGAGAGAAGATTAATCAAGACAATTGATCGATTGTTCTGAAAGCATTTCAAAAATACATGATATAATGAATCAGTATAGTTACTGCATGCAACAGTAGTCCTCAGTCCCACCCCACCAAAGACCATTCCCAAGTGTGCAAGTTGGGAATTGGGTGGATTCAGTCATGACAACCTCCAGTTTGAAAATGTTGAGCCTGTTAACAATCTATGACCAACCTTGTTCTAGGTTCTGTGGCTTCAGTTCATGCATGACTGTGTGTAAACATTGCTTTTAAATCTTGCTTTGTTAAATGTAAACTATTTTCTCTCCTTTACTTTCTCCTGAAATTGCACTTTCAGTGCCTGTGTCCCTTTCAAATCTATTCTATGGCTACCCACCCAGAAAAACTTAGGCCATGTCTGGAGTTTTTTTCCCCACCAGACTTTGCTTGGTAGCTCTTTAGATTAGACACTTAGCTTGTTATCTGTTCTGTGTCAAAATCAAAACAGGCAGCCTTGAAGATTATATATGTAGAATTAAAGGATTAATATGCAGTTTGACTTCTGTAGTGTTTACATATTGTCTGAACTTTTCAAAAGTGAATCATTGCTAATGCAATCCTATATCCGTATCTGTTTAAGAGTAATCCCCATTCATTTCAATGGTAGGGTCTTTGGAGAATCTGGGGACCAGTTTTTCACTTTCAGGATTGCCCCCTAAATATGAGCAAATTTTTTTAAAAAATTTTTTGTATGAAATTAATGTTAATTTATGTGAAAAAAACATCTTGTGGTGAGCATTCAGTCTTTACTAAAGGTTTAAAAAACATTAATTCTTATTTCTTTTTATTTAGGGAATTGTAGGAATGGCTGGCAATCCTGGGGCTCCTGGTTACCCTGGCAGGCAGGTGCAGTAACTATACTTCAAACCTAAATTTCCAGATTGTTCTTTTATTGCAGACTGAAGCTGTGTAGCAGTCCCTGATTCAGGCATAATTTTGTTTCAGACCACTCTAAATCTGAATCAAAATCTGGAAATCTGAATCTCCACATCTTGTTGATTTGCACTGGCATATTAAAATGGCTGAGCAACAAATACGGGGGTATAAGTAAAAGATAGGACTAGAACAGGAACAAGCAATACTAGACCTAGGATTAGAAAGAAGATTGGGTACTACAGAATGAAGGGAAGAGAAACACAAGCTACAGTAAACAAAAAACTACTGCCCAGAGCAGAACAAAGTTATTTTAAACACTGTGATTGCAGAGTACTGGTGAGATTGTTGGCTACTGTTGTTTGGAAACTGGGTTATGATAGCTGTAAAAGACATGTGTAGCTACTAGAGATGGACACGAGCTGCTGTGTTCGGAGGTTCCCAGCCCCACTTCCTCTGGTGGATACCCACGCAGAGGCAGTGCCCAGAGGCAGCTGGGGCAGGGTAGCTGCCTTTGAGTGGGTTCCCACCAGAAGCAGGGTGGTGAAGTGCTGAAACCTGTTTGTTGGAAAACAAACTGGCATGAACCGCCAAACCAGTTGTTTCCTGCCCATTTCTAGTCACTTCCTAAGATGCACAGCCAGACTACCACCCATATTAATGAGCAAGGTCAAGAGGGACCTGGACTAGGCTGTTCAAAATAATTAAAGACAAAAGATTTAGAAATGAAATGATGGAGGCTTTGGAGGGGCCAAGAAAGTGGGGGAAAAAAGTTTTTTAAAAGTGTAACATATACACTGCATCACTTAAAAAAAAAATAAAGGAGAAACTGAAAACTTCCTCCCGGAAGCAGAAGAACACAGGAGGGAATAAGAGAGGTTTTTGTTTGCTTTTCTCTTTTCCCTTCAATCACATATGGTGACTGGAAAATACTCGTTATGTTCTAGTCCTAAATTTGAGCTGTCAATGAGTAGAATCCAGCTCCCCTTTCCTCGCCAGTCACCATACTCTGGTGTTTTCTTGGTGATGTTTTGCAATATCTTGGAGACATATTTGGCTTTCTTTTAATATCCAAATGGTTGAATGCAGCAGTTTGAATTGATTCAGGTCCATTTGGGGCTTACCTTGGATCCTCTTTGGATTTGATCGAGATCTGCCGAATCCAGTGAAAGCAACTACATACAGTGGTGCGTCGCATAGCGATGATAATTGGTGCAGCAAAAATCGCTGCAAAGCGATTTCGTCGCTATACGATATTAAAAAGCCCATAGGAATGCATTGAAACCCCTACAATGCGTTCCTATGGGCTTCAGACTCACTTTTAAGCGAAAATCCTCCATATGGCGGCCATTTCCGCTGCCCAGTAAGCGAGGAATCCGTCCCAGAAAACAGCGGGTGGCCATTTTTTTAACCCAGCGGCCATTTTGGAACCGCCGATCAGCTGTAAGCAGTAAGTGAAACAGGGTACCGATCATCGCAAAGCGATTTTTCCCCATAGGGAACATCGCAAAGCGATCGCAAAAAGTTAATCGCTATGCGATTTCGTCGTTAAACGGGGCACCTGTTAAGCGAGGCACCACTGTAGTCGTATCATAAACAAATTACAAGCTTTTCCCCTGAAATTATTATTATCTTCATCATAAATAGGTATAATCTACAATATTCTGTTTAACCTCGGTATTTCTTTCAAATAGTATTCATTGCACAAGAATTATCTTCTGTGATTTGTTTTATGAAGAAATAATTGATGGTATCCTGCTTGATAATCAGTTATAATCTAAATCAAAAAGAAACCTTACTGTCCTCAAGAATTATTAATTTTGCACAGCATATAAAAATAAAACTATGACAATATCTGAATCTTAATTGTGTTGGATTTCCCAACTGCTATGCTGAAATGTGTGCACCTTTATCAAACATTTTTCCTAATGTGCATGTTTATTTGCACATTTTACCTAGCTTATACTGTACAATGTTTCCTATGTTAACATTTCCAATTTTGAAATGTGTACAGTGATGCCTCACAAGACGAACATAATTCGTTCCATGAGTAGCACTGTCTTGCAAAATTTTCATCTTGTGAAAAGCGGTTTCCCATAGGAATGCATTGCAGTGCATTCCTATGGGAAACCTCGCAAGACGAATGAATTATTTTGATCTTGCGAGGCATCAGTCTTGCAAAAAAAAAAAAAGTCTTGCGAAGCACGGCCATAGAAGAAGCCATCTTGCGAGTCACCAACACGATCACAAAAACCATTCATCTTGCGGGTTTTTCATCCGGTGAGATATCCGTCTTGCGAGGCACCACTGTATATTATTTATGGGTGCTTTATTTTTTCAGAATGTCGTACAAGCTTTGCAGTTATGCAGAATTTTGAAAAAATGATGTTTCTTCTTGCAATGAGTATCCAGAGATAAGAAAACACTATTTTTGTTAAGACTGCTGAATCCAATGAAATGTATTTCCATCCCTATCCATAATACTAAGCAAATCCTGGCTTATTATATATGATTATTTTGTGCTGGTGCATGCTTCATGATCACTCCTGTTTGACTAAACAAAGCTGGAATGTACCAGTAAGAAAATTCTAACAGTTATGTCCAGACTGGGTCTCCTGGTTTGTCACTCCTCCAAGATCCCCGAACCACAAACAAACTGTCTGAGTCTAGCTTTCTGTTTTTTGGGGGAACAACTTGCCATGAAATGGGTTCAGATGAAATGGCAAAGGTTCTTTTTGCTGGAGAGTTGTTCACCATGTCTTGCTGTTGAGTTTTTGCTGGTGAACTAAAGCTGTTATGTTTTTGCTATTATTTTTTATGTGTTCCTGCTGGTAGGAGGATAGTACATAGTTCATTCATAGTTCATTCACCTATTGTTATGGTCCGCCCTCGAAGGCTACTGGATCCGATTGGATTCCAGGATGCCATGAGAGGTGCTATGACTGACCTGGCAGGCGCTCCTGTCGAGGCTCTGACCAGCAGCTGGTTCGCTGCGGCGGCTAGGGTTGCAGACATGATCGCACCTAAGCGCCCTCTCCAACGCAGAGCCTGCCCGGCACCCTGGTTTAACCAGGACCTCAGGGCGTGGAAGCGGTTTAGGAGACGGCTAGAGCGCAAATGGAGAAAGGACCCGACGGATTATAATTGGATAGCTGTCAAGGTTGCTACTAACCTTTACCTGGCTAAGGTAAAGGCTGCCAGTCGAACATACTTCGCTAAC